CTTCAAGTAAAATATTGTTGTAATATTTGTGTATTCATAAATGAAACTAAATCTTACACTATATGGCTAAATCAGACTTAAAAAAAAATCAAAAAATTATATATATATATATAAATGGAGTCAGCTAATTTTTTAATATTAACTCACAACTCAAATTTATGCAAATAAAAATTCTGGTACTTCATATTGTAAACAGACTTAATAGAATTTAAGAAAATTAATATTTATAAATAAGTTAATACTCATACATTTGTAGCCTTTAAGCCGCTTAAACCGAACTATTCGTTTGAATCATAGTAATTCGGTAGAAAAAATTAAGGACAGTACACACAAATGAATGCGTCTATCAATAATAATAACCACACTTACACAAATGCAAATAAAAAAAAAACCACACACTGTAGAGCAACTCAATACAAATTATTTAGTTGAAAGCACAGTAGAAGAAACCTGACCATTTTCTTCATGGTGTGACCACCATGTTATACTGCAAAGCCAGTCGTACCGATTAAAAATCGTTACGTATCGAGCTCCGGGTGTTGTGAAATCGCCACCATCTTGAAAACAGGGCCTCAACCCAACTATACCTAGACTTTAGTATACACATGGAGTAGTCAAATTCCAAAAGGATTTCAATTTCGTTTTTTTGGTCAAAAATCTAATTTTAATACTCGTCATTTTATGTATAAAGTAACTTCAAATATGTATATATATATAATATAGTAAGATTTAACAGACAATTTTTCCGCCTTTAATACGGGAATGAAACATTTTCACGCAGATATGAAAAATGGCTAAATTGCTCAACAAAACTATTAATCATAACATTTTTCTTAGGGGCCCCCGAAAACGAAAATCTTCTGCGTATTAAATTTTCTTTTTAAAATTTAAGCAAAATTAACAAAAATCTCATTTTAACCGTCTCCAAAAAGAGGAGGAAGTTTTCAATTCCGCATAACTTTGGACCACCTTAACCGAATTCTATAGCTCTTGTTTTAAAAGAAAGGTGGTGCCACAGAGGTGGTGCCATACTACTTTAGTTTAAGTCCGGTGATTGGATCATGAAGAAATCAATGATACTCTTAAATTTGTATATGAGAATTGAAGTCGGTTTTATTTTTTTCTTAAAAATTACTTATTCTGTACATATATTATTGGTATATTTGAAGAGCAAATTCGCCTTAACGGCCTGAGTCGTTAATGTATTTTACGCATAACATCGGTCCTTCACGGTAAACCACAAAAGTCTAACGGTGTCAAATCGCAGCTCCGAGGTGACCATGGCAATTGGTATCGCCGAGACATCTAATAACACGATTACCGAACCTAGCGCGCAAAAGATTGATTATAGCATGGTCTGTGTGGCATTGCGCACCATCCTGCTGAAGCCAAAAATCGTCCAAGTGTATGTCTTTAATTTCCGGCTATTAAAAATCGTTCACCATGGCTCTATAGCGCTCACCGTTCAACTAAATGACTTTTCCAGCGGCATTTTCAAAAAAAAATTGCCAATGAGGCCAAATTCCCGCCAAACTGTCTTTCTCAGAGGATGCATTGATTTCTCAGCGATTACGTGCGAGTTTTCCAATCTCCATTTGCGGCAGTTTTGCTTGTTAACATAGCCACCGAGATGAAAATGCGCTTTGTCAGAAAATATGATTTTTACAAGATTTTACAAAACATTGACTTTGGAGATACAGTGAAAGAAGTTTAAAATTCAGTTGGACGTTGCACAACTTTTTTATAGTGGGTTAAAGTTACGTTTTCTTTTTTTCAAAAAACATTATGTTAAGGGCGATCCATATAATTTTTTTAATCATATATTTTTTTGACACTGACAGCTCTTCTCCGCTAATCATAACTTTAATCTTAGTCCTAATCTTAACCTGCATAAATCCTAACTTAATGTTAATCTTATTTTTAATATTAATGTTAGTCTTAATCTTAATCAGAATCTTAATCTTAATCAGAATCCTAATCTTAGTTTTCAACTTAATCTTAGCCTTAACCTTAATCTTAATTTTAATTGTAATCTTACTATTAATCTTGATCTTAATCTGAATCTAAATCTTAAACTTGATCTTAATCTTAAACTTACTTTTAATCTTAATCTTGATTTTTATCTTAATCCTAATCTTGATCTTAATATTAATAACAATCTTAATCTTAATCTTATCTTAATCCTTATCCCAATCTTAATCTTGATCTTGATCTTGATTTTATTCTAAATCTTAGTCGTAATCCTAATCTTAATCTTAATCTTTGTCTTGATCTTAATCTTAAAATGAATGTAATCATAGTCTTAATTAAGATTTTAATCTTAACCTTAATCATGATCTTAACCTAAGTCTTAATTTTAAACTTTATTTAAATCTTAATCTTAATTTAAATTTTAATCTTAATCATAATTTTAATCTTAATTTTAATCTTGATCTAAATCTTGCCCTGAAGCATAGTCTTAATCTTAAACTTAATCTTAATCATAATCTAACTTTTAATCTTGATCTTAATCATAATCTTAATTTAACCCTAATTTTAGCCTTGATCTTAATCTTAGTTATAATCTTAATCTTGATCTTAGTCTTAATCTTTGTCTTGATCCTAATCTTAAACTTAATATAATCATAATCTGAATTTTAATCTTAATCTTAATCATAATATTAATCTTAATCTTAATTTCAAACTTAATTTAAATCTTAATCTTAATCATAATTTCAATCTTAACTTTAATCTTGATGTTTATCTTGCCCAGAATCTTCGTCTTAATGTTAATCATAATCTGAATTTTAATCTTAATCGTAATCCTACCCTTAGTCTTAATCTTTGTCTTGATCCTAATCTTAAACTTAATATAATCATAATCTGAATTTTAATCTAAATCTTAATCATAATATTAATCTTAATCTTAATTTTAAACTTAATTTAAATCTTAATATTAATCACAATTTCAATCTTAATTTTAATCTTGATGTTTATCTTGCCCTGAATCTTCGTCTTAATCTTAATCATAATCTGAATTTTAATCTTTATCTTAATGGTGTCCAACCACCCCCGCCATTCCCTCTCTTCTTCTTTAGATTTTCTGTTTCATGGGAGTTTGGATTTAGAACCCAACGATCGTGTCGCTTTTTCGTTACATCGATGTTTGCATTTACACCCAAATGAGCCCAGTGAAGTTCCATTTAAAAAATTGTAATGAATTGGCGCAAAGTCCTACCAGGGATCGACTAAAGTTTACATTTAAATACTAGCGTTGGGTTGTGTTAAGTTGAGGTCATAAAATAGCTCCTCTCATGAGGAAGAAAACACGTTGACCACCTTTGTTTTCAAGATGGCTGGTTACCCACAGCCCATGAGTACCGGAAATCAAGCTTTGCATTCCTTTCGACTAGCAAAAATAAACTTTAGTTTACCAATTTTCGACCCTAATTTGACTCTTCCATCTGACTACGTCCTTGACATTTGACTTCGTCCATCTGATTCCACACAATTGGCCTTACACGATGTTCAAGCTCCCCGCACATACTGATTCTACTATCGTGAGCTGCGGTTTGATTATTTTCGAAAGCTGATTGGATCGCCTTCGTACCACAATTGGCCAGTAGGGTCTTGCAACTTTGTCTAATAATAGCGGTACTCACTTTCCGTAGCATTTTAGGTGTAAAGTTGGAAAGCAACAAAACATGTGATAGATTGCTACGTAGCAACTTTACACCTAAAATGCTACTCAACGTGAGCTCCCCTAATGTTCTTCAACCGCGTTCGCTTAGCTGATTTGCTAACCATACCCGTATTTCAAAGCGCAGACTAAAGATCGCCCTAGTTCCCCTACATGAAAATGCTCATCAGAACAAGTCTTTAGGTCCTACATTTTTCTGCAGTTTCACTGTGACCTGGTACCCATAAAAACTACTTCTAGGTACTCGTGAATAGATTACACCTAATCAATTTTATATTAGGTGGAAAATGCTCGTAGTATATTTATTTCTTCAAGAAAATTCGCAGCAAAAGCAAAGTGCTTTTTCAAGCAACAGAAGTAATGAAAAATGTTTCTTGAAATATTTCTTCAAATTTTCTTGATAGCTGTATACTAAGCTTAATCATCGAAGAAAATAGAAAGTTTCCAAATAATGATCTTCATACGAGAAAAAATTTAAATAACAGTTAATTTCGGTCCTTGGTTAAAATGAGCAAATACTTTTTTCACGTACAAATTTTTTGGATTCTAGGAAAGATTTTTATGGAAAATGGAACTATCATTATTATTTTTTAAATTGAATGTTAAGCCAGATCGTCTTTCAAAAATAACAGATTTTATGTTGTAAAACCTTTCATAAGCACATACATTCATACATACACACACAAAAATATAGATATATGTATATATACTTACAAATGTATGTGGATTAGGGTGGTCCAAAAAAAATGTACAATGTTAAACTCTCACAGCCAAGGCTTTTTCTAAATGGAAAAAAGAGTGCGCGTATATTTTCGCTTAAAAAAAAAAGATATTGAGAGCTGCCTCAAAGCCCACGAATTTTTCCATGTATTTTATATGCGGAAAAAGACTTTTTCGTAGACATGGTATAGAACTCCTGAAAATCAATCTTCTAATCATAAATATTTTTATGGGTCCACTCATTGCATATGTATATGGGAACCCATAAACAATTTTTAGTATTAAAAATGGTAAAGTAAACAATTGGGTATTATTATTGGAAGACTCCCGAAGAGAAACAGTGTTTTCCGATCGAAATATATTGATTTTTGAGAATTATATCGCATTTTTACGAAAAAGTGGTTCTCCCCATATAAGATACATATGTACATGGAAAACTTAATGGGCTTTGAGGCAATTCTAAATATAATTTTTTTTACAAAACACTACTAGTGTTCTTTTTTTCATTTATGCATGTATATTTGGACAACTCTAATGTATGAATATCTCTACGTTTTATATAAACATTTAACTGTCATTATTTCTCTTTGCAATTTAACAGATATTACCTTCAAAGTGGGTTACATTGCCGACGATCCTAACTCGTATACGGAAACACTGCCATTGAACAGACCTAACGACGAAGCGCTGAAGCTGGAGAGGAATTGAGATCAATAGGATTGTGCTCGTACTCAAAACTATCCAAAGTTTTAGAAAACTATCAGAGTTTTTGCGTTCTCGTACCCAACGAACTTTGAAAGTAGGTGAAATTGAGAGAGCAAAATTTCATTGAGAGCTGCAAACTTCTGCTGGAAAAATTTTTACTTGAGAGCTGCAAATTTCTGCGAAAACTTGCAAGTAGGAAAATCAGCTGATCACAAACATATGTTCGCGAAAAACCAAAATGAAATATGGGCTTTGTGAATTATTTATTGAAAATTTTATAAATTTTGCTAGTATACAAAGAAAAAGATAGTAAGGTACAACATCTTTAAGTTTTCCAATTTTCTTATTTTAGTGTGTATTTAATGGTTGCCCTATGGCATTTTTCGTTTGTACCATATTTTTCGCTAAAATATACCAAAATAGATAAAAGTGCAGTAAGCTGAAATTTTTTGGCCGAATTTGTCAGTTTTGAGTAGATTGATTGTTGGAAGGGAAATTTTATAATTTTAAAGGTACATTTGTTGCTATATAACGGGTGATTTTTTTGAGGTTAGGATTTTCATGCATTAGTATTT